TATTACCGCGGAAAGAGCTGATTACGTTGCGGCGTTTCTATTTCTATCCTGTCCAGTTACAGTGAGAGAAAAAAAATACATTATATATATATACATATATATAATGTATTATATATATAAAGGGAATTCTTGCGACAAGATTTTCATTTGTGATCAACAAAACAAGTTGTAGGGTCGATGGATGCTAATTTAAAACGATATTAAATTTTCTTGAGCCCACCAAGCTTATATTATTAATTTTCATTTGATTTTCTGTAGATAAATGGAGTGGAATAAAAAGATGATTCACTTAATAAAGTGAAAGGCTTTGGAAGAATCAATAATATTCTTGTATCAAAGTATAGTTGTATAGATTTATATAGAACTTGTTCTTGCATCCCCGTGGAACAATACATATTTGCCATTAATACCTTTTGTCTCAAGTATTAACTTGTTTGAGTTAAATACAATATTTTACCGAAAAAGTGATATAATTCCTCCATTTGTATTTTCAAAAGTTAACCTAACCTTGTAGATTAAATGTTTGTCGTTAAATCATTTTCAGTTGATGCACAAATGTTATTGTTTAATTTGCAAAGCCGATGATTGTGACATAATCATTATTAATGGACGTAAGAAACTTCTTTCACAAGAAACGTATGAATAGCCCAAAGAAACACATTTTACCTAGAAAATAAATTTTTTCCCTCAGTATATTTCTTCGCCGAGGTAGCGATTCGAATAGTATATTTATAAAGAAGGAAATATGTATTTCACAACGCTAAAAAAAAATATTATTCATTGAACGAAATCGTTCTACTGTATTTGGTTCATATCAGAAAACGTTTTGATTAAGCGAATTGAATTGAATTTTGCTTTAATCAACTAAAGTGTTCCGGTTAAATCATTTTGTTAATTTTAGAAAATATTTTAATCAATAAATCAAACATAAAATTAAATGTACCAAATTACTATAACATTTGATTTACCGCAATATCTTCTGTAATCAACCAAAAGATATTAAACCAGACCTTTTGTCAAGTACATATTGTTTCGTTTTGTTCATATAATAATCATAATCTACTGCCAAATCAGGCAAAACTTTACATATGAGACCAAGTACTTTTCTGCAGATCCGTAAGTGAAACCTGTTGGTCTAATAAAAGTTCACCGAGAGTACCGAGAGAATTTCAAGACTCGAATGGACTTGAATGGACGCGTACTCGAGGGTTGAGCTTTTCATGTAACAAGCTCCCCTTTCCCCCTTTTCCTCGTCTTTTACTGTCATTAGACGAGTAAAGACGAGATTCAATGCTGGCTCTAAATGTTTCCGTCGGAAGAGGACTTTTCCGGACAAGTTATTCAATTCGAGGCTATCGCCCTCCTCGTAATCTTTCCGATTCCTCGAGGACGCCGTTTCCGATCTAGCGGAAATGCCGCTCAGGAAATTCGAGTTAAATTCAATTTACGCCAACATTACCTCTCGTAGATTTTTACGACCCGTTTGATCGGACGACACGAGAAGAAATTAAATTGCCTGGAATTCTGAAGTCGTTAAGGTGATATGAAAAAGTCAGCCTAAATATACCTGAGAAGTCTAATCGTCGGGGAAAGTATTCTCCGAGTTGGGTGTACCTTCAAATATTAGTAGTTTCAAATTTTACCACGTAGTTTCAAATTTCATCACGTGGATATGGCGGCCCTAAAATAGCTCCTGAAACTCATGACATTTCATTTTTCACCAAAAATTCATTTACTTCTCATGGACTAGAACCAACGTGGCGAACCAACAACGCGATGTGTTCTCTGCAATTAGAATTCCTCATCGTCATAATTGCGATAACCGTGTTGAATAAAGTTGGTAAATTCATAACGATACTTTTGAAATTTAATAATACATATGCGTACAAATATTGAGATATTACATGTACTTAACTTTGTTTCATATTTAAGTACTTTTGGTTCGTCATTGTGCCCTGCAAATATGAATTCCAACTGAGGACTCATAAGCATTACCCTCATTACTCGTTTCATGATCTTTTATGAGGCAGATTTAATGCAAATTTTGCATCACTTGTCTATCTAGGTGAGCTATAGACGCTGCAATTGTTTAGCAGTAATGCGTGAAATAAATTTAGCCGTACATATGCGTCCAAACATTGAGACATTGCACGTACTTAACTTTGTTTCACATTTAAGTATTCCTGATTCATTATTGTGCCCTGCAGATACGAGTTCCAAATGAGGACTCATAAGCGACACCCTCATGACACTTTTCATGATTTTTTATGAGGCAAATTTAATGCAAATTTTGCATCACTTGTCTATCTGGGTGAGCTACAGACGCTGCAATTGTTTATCAGCAATGCGTGAAATAAATTTAGCTGTACATATGCGTCCAAACATTGAAACATTGCACGTACTTAACTTTGTTTCACATTTAAGTATTCTTGGTTCATCATTGTGCCTTACAGATACGAGTTCCAACTGAGGACTCATAAGCGACACCCTCACGATTCATTTCATGATTTTTGATGAGGCAAATTTAATGCAAATTTTGCATCACTTGTCTATCCGGGCACATGGTGTACGTAATAAACGTGAGAGACAAGATAGAAGAAAATCGCGAAATTACCCAACCCTGGAGCCAAACTAATTCAGAAGCAAAGGGGTTAACCGACCCGAGGCAGCAACGAGAGGAGAGTTCCATAAACGAAGAGTGTTTCCGGAAGGCGTCGGTTTAGCACCCTTCCGGCTAATCGGATTCCCCGTGGTAGAGATGCAATTCCACTCGGAAGGAGCCGCGAAGGGGGTAAATAATCGAGGCGAAGGCGGATTCCGCCCTCTTCGGTCGGAAGCGTGCCTCCGGGGCGCAGGCGACGTGTCGAGCGGATTGCTCGCCCGGAGCTGGGAACTTCGACACACAATGCAGCCTCGTAGTCCGCGAGAGAGTGATTGCTGTATCCATCATGCACGTGACTCGTACCGAGCCTACGTACAGTGGCGGACACGAATGCCTCCCCTGCAGATACGACATCGCCTGTGCAGGATGGGAGGGCATTGATGTCNTTTAATTGTATAAATATTACGTTGATTATTATTAATACTCGTACCGAGCCTACGTACAGTGGCGGACACGAATGCCTCCCCTGCAGATACGACATCGCCTGTGCAGGATGGGAGGGCATTGATGTCTCCCAGTGTACAGGAGCGTCGTCGGGCGCGCCTCCTGCACCTCCACCCGCCGACATTGTGACACCTCGGGGGATAAAGCGCCCCACTCGCCGAGGGAAGTGGATAAAACGGGTCCCGGGAACGACGACTCGTTGAAGGGGGTGTCGGCGATGCCACCCACCCCCGCCTCTCGATTAACCCCTTGCCTTACGATTTAAATTCCAATAGCGCGTGCCATAAACAGCAAAAATGTCGGTCATACATCGGGTCATTTCACGGTTTGTCTGAACGTTCAAAGTCTCACACGTCTCTCATACGTTTTGTTCACGTTTGGCTCGACGTACCACGTCTCTCACACGTTTTGTTCACGTTTCGCCCGATTGATATACCATGTTTCTCACACGTTTTGTTCGATTAATCCCTTGCCTTACGATTTAAATTCCAATAGCGCGTGCCATAAACAGCAAAAATGTCGGTCATACATCGGCCCATTTCACGGTTTGTCTGAACGTTCAAAGTCTCGCGCGTCTCTCATACGTTGTGTTCACGTTTCGCCCGACGTACCACGTTTCTCACACGTTTTGTTCACGTTTGGCCCGATTGATATACCATGTCTCTCACACGATATTGTAGGTGAAGAGGTTAAATTCCAATAGCATGTGCCATAAATAACAAAAATGTCGGTCATACATCAGGCCATTTCACGGTTTGGCTAAACGTTCAAAGTCTCGCGCGTCTCTCATACGTTTTGTTCACGTTTCGCCCGACATACCACGTCTCTCAAACCTTTTTGTTCACGTTTGGCCCGATTGATATACCACGTCTCTCACACGATATTGTAGGTGAAGAGGTTAAATTCCAATAGCATGTGCCATAAACAGCAAAAATGTCGGTCATACATCGGGCCATTTCACGGTTTGGCTGAACGTTCAAAGTCTCACGAGTCTCTTATACGTTTTGTTCACGTTTAGCCCGACATACCACGTCTCTCACACGTTTTGTTCACGTTTGGTCCGATTGATATACCACCGTAAATCGGTGAAGTTTCTCCCGGGGCCCAAATCTGAGACTGAGGGTAAACAACGTGATAAGTTAAAAGAGCGATTGGAGATACCATGCAATGCGTTGCTTAAATCCCTCTCAAAACACCTCCAAAAATTTAGCTAAATACTCTATCTCTATTCAATTAACCCTTTGCGGTCGTATGTCTACTCTTAGCCACCAGATGTCTCTTGATCTAGGGAAAATGCGACCACAACGGGTTAATTGCAAGAATAGCTCAAATTGCTCCCTTCCCCCGAAAAGCTCAAATCAACTATTTTTGCCAAATATAGTAGAAAATTCATTCCATTGAAGTCTCAGCTAAAATCTTTTTGCCAAATCTCACGATAGATTTGGTTTCACGTATTTTGTACCTACAAGATTTTCTGCTTCCTCAAACCGTAGACAAATATTAAAGACTACATCGAAAGAAATAAAAAAAAAAAAATTAGGATCTAAATTCGCAAACAATATTTTATTTGGCGAGCACCCGAGGTATACTCCTAGCATATGATCATTTTGGTGCTCACCAAATAAATTATTGTTTTCAGATTTAGATCCTAATTTTTTATTTTATTTGTTTCGATATGGTTTTTAATATTTCTCTTCGGTTTGAGGAAGCAGAAAATCTTAGAATTATCTCCTGCGTGAAGATGGCCCCAACAGTTATCGATGGATCGAGGGGCAATCGAGAAGTCGAGGTCCGCTCGTCCATTTCTTGGGAAAGAAAAGAAGGTCGGTTCGGTCGGTGCGTTAATTGGCAATTTTCTTTAACGGGGTCGTAGGTCATTACGCCACCTTCGAGCATGCTTCGCGATCACGAAATCGACGTGGTAGTCGATTCCTGGGTGTCACCGACTTTGAAGTCGGAGAAGAGGCGCTCGGATTCGAAGAAATACTGCAAAGGCAAGGTGATCAAGTTCCGATGCGACTTTCCCTCCACCCAACTCGACGTGATGCAGTCGCGAGGTTGGACGCAAGTAAATCGGTTCTCGTTTTACGCGTAACGAGTATTATACGGAAAGATGCGCTCAATGGATGACGAATGAAAAACGAAAAATTATTCATTTATTACCTAAGCAACTAAATGATTGAGGATTTTGTCGGTAGATGGTATTAAGAAATCCGCAATCACTTAGTTGCCAACCCAATATTACCTTTAATATGAAAACGTGGACCGAGCAGACGTCGTGCTTCTTTCAAATAGAGATACGACGAACGGATATTGAAATATTTATTAAATTGTTTTAATTGTATAAATATTACGTTGATTATTATTAATATAAATTATAAATATAAACCTTTAAATTGGGGCTATTTTGATAAAACCTATCATAAATCTATACTAAAGATATAAATGTCTCTTTTCAAGGAATTAATTTACATTCCTTTTTCCCTTTCCCCCTGTTATTAATCATCAATACCTGCGATAATAGGAGCACAAAACTATACCCGCTTAAGCACAACCTAACCTTAAAAACACAATTTCATAAATATCGCGACCTTCTCGTGCGTCCTACTTAAGGCAAACTCCTTGAAACATCTTTTCATCTCTAAAAATAAAAAAATTCCTCCCTTGGCTTATTTTAAGTGGTTCACCTTATAATAGGAAAAGTAGATTTTAAGGAGGTGAAGAGTGCCTCGAAGATAGATTATAGTCTTAGATTAGTCAACGAGGTACAACCAGCTTCGCTTTGAAACCCAAGGACGTACTACCGCGAAATGCATCTTTTCGTCTCTAAAAATAAAAAAATTCCTTCCTTGGCTTATTTTAAGTGGTTCACCTTGTAATAGGAAAAGTAGATTTTAAGGAGGTGAAGAGTGCCTCGAAGATAGATTATAGTCTTAGATTAGTCAACGAAGTACGACCACCTTCGCTTTGAAACCTAAGGACTTACTACCGCGAAATGCATCTTTACGTCTCTAAAAATAAAAGAATTCCTCCCTTGGCTTATTTTAAGCGGTTCACCTTGTCATAGGAAAACTAGATTTTAAGGAGATGAAAAGAAGCGAGTGCCTCGAAGATAGATTATAGTCCTAGATTAGTCAACGAGGTACGACCAGCTTCGCTTTGAAACCCAAGGACGTACTACCGCGAAATGCATCTTTTCGTCTCTAAAAATAAAAAAATTCCTTCCTTGGCTTATTTTAAGTGGTTCACCTTGTAATAGGAAAAGTAGATTTTAAGGAGGTGAAGAGTGCCTCGAAGATAGATTATAGTCTTAGATTAGTCAACGAAGTACGACCACCTTCGCTTTGAAACCTAAGGACTTACTACCGCGAAATGCATCTTTACGTCTCTAAAAATAAAAGAATTCCTCCCTTGGCTGATTTTAAGCGGTTCACCTTGTCATAGGAAAACTAGATTTTAAGGAGATGAAAAGAAGCGAGTGCCTCGAAGATAGATTATAGTCCTAAATTAGTCAACGAGGTACGACCAGCATCGCTTTGAAACCCAAGGACTTACTACCGCGAAATGCATCTTTTCATCTCTAAAAATAAAAGAATTCCTCCCTTGGCTTATTTTAAGTGGTTCACCTTATAATAGGAAAAGTAGATTTTAAGGAGGTGAAGAGTGCCTCGAAGATAGATTATAGTCCTAGAATAGTCAACGAAGTACGACTAGCTTCGCTTTGGGACCCAAGGACGTACCACCGCGAAATGCATCCGACGAAAGAATTGCAATTTACATTGACTGTGTCTATGAAATTTAGATTCCAGTAGATGGTGACACGTCTTGGCACATTTGGTGGTGCGAAATCAGCGACGTTCGAGCAGCTCTCGATGGGAGACTTTGGCCTTATCAAAAGATCCCGCACTTCCGGTAAGCATTATTCAAGGCATACCTTGGGGCGTGCGAATGTCTAATTCAAACTAATTTATATGCAATTAATTATCTTACCCATGTTGACGCAATTGACTTCAAAATGTTTCTGAATTGTAATCAAGAGAACTCCAAGTGATGATTGATAAAAAGAATTGTTCTTATCATGCACAAATTGAGGCACATTCATATCACCTTAAGGTGATGTGAAAGTGTCATAGAAGAGGATTTGTTTATAAAATTTCTCTCCCACCTCGATTTATCGAATAGTTTAAAACTTCATAACGTGAATAAGGAGGCTATAAGGAAGGTCCTGAAACTCATGAGATTTCAATTCTTTTCAAATTTGTTTATAGGTGTTTTAAAAATAGTTTATAAAAAAAATGAAATCTCACGAGTGTCAGGACCTACCTTAGGGTCTCCATATTCACGTTTTAAAGTATGAAACGATTTTTGAGACACCCAGTTCGTAGAAAAGTTTTATGAACTATTGAGCTTTCGGATGCCACATTCACATCCCCTTAACCAGTCCAGTTCGTCCGAATCTGTTACGTCTCTTTTCCGGCCTCTTCTGCCGTTTTGTTCCGCCGCGACGATAAAGCATAAGCCGGAAGCTAATTTAACAAGAAATTCGCCCGAGACCGATCTGCTTCGCTTCGTTTCAGGAATCACTACGAGCTCACTCGGAAGAACTACCTCTGCAGGAATTTGAAGCGCTACAAGAAGCTCCTCTTGAAGTCGGGGAAGCAGAAGGAAGCGGAACTCTGCGACTGCATGCCGATTACTTTCGAGCTCCCCAACGAGTACCGAATGCTGATCGAGGAGTACCACAAACAAGGAGGAACTTGGATCGTCAAGCCGGCTGCCAGATCTCAGGGTCGAGGGATATTCCTCTTTCAGAAACTTAGAGACCTGGTGGACTGGAAAAATAAACGGAAGATCGACGCCGAGAACATCTTCGAGACCTTCCTCGTACAGAAATACGTGGATGATCCTTATCTGTTAGCAGGCGAGTACACGAGAACCGTATCATCTTCATCTACATGCGTAACAAACTCGCAACTTCCTTTTATATACACGGTTAGGGTCGATTCGGATATATCCGTACCGCATCCGTGCCGTATCCGTGCACGTCCGTGCAGAGTGCACAGAAAAAAAAAAAAAAATGAACGGTCAGGAAAACCACAATTGTGGTAATCGTTACCTCCTTTACAAGGTAACATACGGGACAAGTTTGGGAGGAAGTTGCAGTAAACAAAGCAACAATTAGTTTCACTCAACATCAATTTCTCTTCTCAACAAAACAATTGTTTCTTGCAATCATATATGATGCAGGCAATAATATATCAACAATACCCTGACAGAACTTCATGAGCATTATATGATGAGGAAAGTGGAGTAATAAACAATTTGCAAACCATTTTCATTTCAACTGTCTGCAACATATGTACGGTTAGGGTCGATTCGGATATATCCGTGCCGCATCCGTGCAGAGTGCACAGAAAAAAAAAAGCGGTCAGGAATACCACAATTGTGGTAATCGTTACCCCCTTTACAAGGCAACCTACGGGACAAGTTTGGAAGGAAGTTGTAGTAAACAAGGCAACACTTAGTTTCACTCAACATCAATTTCTCTTCTCAACAGAACAATTGTTTCTTGCAATCATACATGATGCAGGCAACAATATATCAACAGTACCCAGACAGAAGTTCATGAGCATTATATGGTGAGGAAAGTGGATTTACAAACAATTTGCAGACCATTTTCATTTCAACTGTCTGCAACATATGTACGGTTAGGGTCGATTCGGATATATTCAGGTGCGTCAAGCTAGCACGGCAACATCCCAGTACACGATTTCTGAATGCAGAGGAATTATGTGCTAATTATGTGCTAATTTTGTGCTGAATTAATTAATTTTGTACCCCCACCATTTTTCCGAAATTTGAAATTTCAGTGTGGCCGTGCTAGCTTGACGTCAAGCCAGCACGTTCCCATCTCAAACAAGACAAAAAGTTAAAAACAAGTACACCAAATTGAAGGGCAAATTATGTGCTAATTTTGTGCTGTAATCGTT